AAGAAGTTGGGCGGAATATCCCCTGGTGTAGGGCGGTCGGTCCGGGCTACACTACACGAAGTGGAGCTCATCTAACTAGATGGAGGGAAGGCGTAAATGCCCTAGGTTAAGGGAAGTGGTCTGGAGGTCAGCAGTGAGAGAACAGGGAAGAGACAAAGAGGGAGGTGGGGAACTAAGCCCGCTGTGACTGTGGGGGGATAGAAAGAAGAGAGGGAAACAAAAGTAACAATATAGCTCAGCCCCTATCCCAGCCTGTGGGGCTGCAATGGTTTAATCCCTGCGCCGAGGCTGCAGGCTGTGGCAAGCTGTGGCTGTGTTGAGGTAAAGCCCCTTACCCTACTCCAAATGGTCCCGGCTCTGGCCGAGACAGTGGTAGGGCTAAGGTCAAACCCTAGCTGGCCTCCACTGTGGTAAGACAAAAGCCCCAGCCCCTCAAAACCTTGTGGATCTGTGCCTACTTATCTTTATAGTGCTCCTCCTGTGATCCAGCAGTGTTGATTTTCCCTCTTAGTAACTCTCCTGGGCTGATTTCCCTCTGGTATGTGTTACTCAGTGGCCATCTTCCCAGAAGTCCTAGCCAAATATTTTTAACTCATTCCTAATGTAATGGCTAGAACTGCCTCTCTTTGATGAGACGTGTGATGTTATCCTGGTATTGATGACTTTGCAAGCATGATGCCTTGGTTTAAAGGATGAGTTATTATTTAAAAGTACGAATTTCAGTCTAAGGTGGTGAAAACTTTTGGAACCAGTGATAATGGTTATACCACATGATGAGTGTAATTAATGGCATTACATTGCACACTTAAGAATGGTTAAAACAACTAACTTTTCAATGTGTATGTTTTACCATGAAAAGGAATATATATTTAAAGTACTAGGAAGCAGATTTCAGTGCAATATGAAGAGGTCTCTTTAAGGCGCCTTGCAACAAAGTAAGCTGCATGTTCTTGGGAGGAACTCATGCAGAACCTGGATGACTGTTAGAACAGTGATCCCTGCACAGATTAGGGAGTGATTGACATAACTCTTAAGATTCCCTTTCAGCACTTAAAGGATGTTCATTCTAATCCTTCTCCAGATTTTCTTCCAGACATCACGTTGCTTGGACACCAAGGCAAACATCTCCACTGAGCATATACTTTTTATCTATGTGCCTTAATTTGAATTCAAGTCAGAACCTGCAAGCAAACAGGAATACTTGTTTTTATCACAGCATTTACTTCTTATGCAAATTTTATTCTTGACTTTTCTCCCTCCTGGTCTTATTTCTCTGTATTTCCAGACCCACTTACTTTTTTTTATTACATTTTATCTTATCGTGTTGAATAAATTTTTAGTAATCTTAAGTAGTTTTTGGACTATAATCAAATTTAAATAAAGTGTATGATCAAGTACCTCTCTGTACTAGAGTATGCCTCTTGAGCTATAGGGCAAGTTTCTGTTCCTTCTTCAGCAGGGGCAGGTAAGATCAACTTCTAGGTTTTAAGGTTGGATTCCTTTGACTACAGTGGCAATGACTTTTAAGGATGCCTAAACCTGTGTAGATTATTGGCCAATGAGTTTATAATTTAGGGTGTGTGATAGAAGTTTGGAGGGCAAGAGGAGGGGAGTTGCATGGCAAAAAAATAAATGAAGATAGAGTTAAGTCTAGTGTTTCCCACTATAAAGCCAATGAGCAAGAATTTTAGGGCTGATACCCAGTGGAGAATATTGTCCATCTTAATTCTCCAAACTCATCTTTGCTCAAGAATCCTAAAGCATTAATATACAGGAACACACGAGATACATGGGCAGGATGAATGACTAGTTTATCTTTCAACCTCAAATTGCCATCTTTCTTACCATATGCTGACACACAAAGTTCAAGTGAGCTTTCTTATCTCTAGCACCAGTCATGTTTGTTACAGGTTGAGTTATAGCCCCCTAAAATATGTTATAAACCCTACCTTCTATACTTGTGGTTATAATTCTATATATAATTCTTTTATATTCTAATTCAAATGCCTTGTCTTTGTTATGGTGAGGCAGGATTAGTGGAGGATATGTTTCTGACTCAATCTCTTTTGAGATATAAAAGATTAAATAAGCAAGAGAAGCAGCAAGACATGAAGACTGCACAGGAGAAGAAACCCAGAAGAAACAAGGACCTTCTTCCAGAACCAACAGTTTCAATTCTTTACTCTGACAGACTAGGACTTATGGTGACTCTTACTTTAACCAACTCTGTCTAATGTTGCAAATGGTTAACACACTGGGCTTCTTACTGAAAGACTGGAGTTTAAAGTCTTCCAGGCCTTGTTTTCAAGGCCTGGAGATCTACCGTATATACTCGTGTATAAGCTGAGTTTTTCAGCACATTCTTAATGCATTTTTGGTGGCAAAATTAGGTGCCTTGGCTGATATTTGGGTGGGCTTATACTCGAGTATATAGGGTACTTTGAAAAATCAGCTATTGAACAACACCTCTGCAGCACAGTTCTACTCTGCACCACTTTGGAGTTATCATGAGTTGGAATCATGGATTGCAACTAGTCTTACTTCTAATGCACCCATTCAAGCACCCTTCCCAGTGTAACAATTTAGGGCTTCATTTGTCACTGTTTCTGGAGCATCTTCAGTTTAGAAATGGAAGCATGGCGCTGCTAACTGAGGTTGGGGTGCATCATGCTCCAGTGAGCATTTGCTGCTGGGCTGTCCTCAGGCCTCTTCCCTGCTATTGCTTTATGCTTTCATTTGGTTAATATTTCCTTAGTGTATTTAATAAGGTTTTACTCAGTACTCTGTAGATCCTAAGCTTGTTTGTGCAAGCTTCCCTAGGTAGAGATCAAGAGAAGCATGTTGGAAGCTGGATTATGGGGAACCCGATACCTAGGGACCTGTCATAAAATTGACCAGTGGCCAGATAATTCTTGCCAAGAGCTGAAAGCTTGTCAAGGTAAAAATAACACATTTCTATCATAATCAGAACAAAATGCCGGCTAGGGTATTAATACTTTCTCCAAAACTCATACTAAGTAGTCAACCAATCAGGTGGCCCACAAGCCTTTGTAGAATTTCCATCTGTGGAACTAATGGCTGCCAGTTATCAAGTATAATTTCCAAATTCTGCCTTTACAACATGTATTCTACCACCTCCAAATAGAATGGGCTTGGTTACAGCTCACTGGACTCTGTATATCTCTCTGAACAATCTTTCCTGAAGATGAGATGGAATATGCTTGGGCTTTTACAGCAAAGATTTCTTCAGGCAGAAAAATAAACTTTGTCAGCTTGCCTAGAGTGAAACAAAGGGATGTATGTTGCTATAGAGCCTTTCCATCACCCATATCTTTAGTATGTGTCTATAGTCAGAAACTAAAAGAAACTCTGCCGGTGCAGACAGAAGTCACTGGTTGTTAGAGCATTCTGTCTTAGAGATAGAACAGGAAGCACTGGCAGGGGTTCTTTGAGCTACTGAGCTACAGGCAAGAGCCTGTAAAAGATACTGCATCAGATGGACATTGGGTCTCCACTCAAGTACTCCTTCAATGCAAGAACACTTTGTTCTATTAAACTGGCATCCCATGATGCTTACCTTCCCAACATGATCACTGAAGACAAATATGCACATAAGTAAATGTGGTGAAGAAAGCTGGTGGTGCCCAGCTATCAAAAGATAGAGTGTCTGGGGTCTTAAAGGGTTGAAGGTAAACAAGCGGCCATCTACCTCAGAAGCAACAAAGCCCACATGGAGGAAGCACACCAGCCTGTGTGATCATGAGGCATCAAAAAACAAAAAATATATCATTGTGAATGAGAGGGAGTGCAGATTGGGGACCCACAGTCCATCTGTAGGCAACTGGACATACCCTTACAGAAAGGTTGCAGGGAGGCAGACAAGGAAATCAGGGTGGAGTGTAGCAACGATGAAACATACAACTTTCCTCTTGCTTCCTCCCCCCACCCCACCCCCATCATGATCCCAGTTCTACCTTCCAAATCTGGCTAGACCAGAGGATGTACACTGGTACAGATAGGAACTGGAAACACACAGAATCCAGGACAGATGATACCTTCAGGACCAGTGGTGAGAGTGGTGATGTCAGGAGGGTGGAGGGAAGGTAGGGTAGAAGAAAGGGGGAACAGATTACAGGGATCTACATAGAGCCTCCTCCCTGGGAGAGACAACAGAAAAGTAGGTGAAGGGAGATGTCAGACAGTGTAAAATATGACAAAATAATAATTTTTAAATTATCAAGGGTTCATGAGGGAGGGGGAACAGGGAGGGAGGGGAAAAATGAGCTGATACCAAGGGCTCAAGTAGAAAGCAAGTGTTTTGAGAATGATGATAGCAACAAATGTACAAATGTGCTTAACAAAATGGATATATGTATGGATTGTGATGAGTTGTACGAGCCCCCAATAAAATGATTATTTAAAAGAAGATAATGCATTATAAGTCATTGTATAGCAAAGCATCATGATGTAAGATTTAGTTATTTTTTTAAAAAGGATTTAGTTATATAATTTTTGATTAGCCATTCAGTGATTGATTTTTCCATTAAAGCCAGTTATGAATCAAAAGTCACAAGACCACAATCTTTGAAATTGTAACACTTATAGGCATTCTCTAGATTTCTAGGCCAAATATGTACAGTGGCATTTTGTTTAGAAAAAGACCTCAACACTTGGAAAGGTGAATATGCAAAGTCCCCAAATTGTTTTTTCTGGAGAAGATACGATGAAAGAGCCAGCTTAACTACAGCTTAACTACAGACTTAACTACAGCTTAATGAAGACAGAAATACAACCACAAAATTTTATTTAGGAGAGGATTGTAAGCAGAAGATCACATCTTTTAGGAGATTTTGATTATGAGGTATGGCTCTATTTCACTCATACTGGAAATATACTGCTAATTTGTGAATCTGTTGTATTATATGAGAAGACTGGTGTGTGGAAACTTCTCTACAGAAGGCAGTTTAAGGCTGAGTTTAAACCTGGCTCTTAGAGCTTCTACCTTTGGTTGAGTCCTCTACTCTCTTTCTGGACCTCAATTCATTCTGGTGTGAGAAGTGAACTCCACCTGTGGCATTACAGGGCTATGTGGAAATACTTATATTTTATGCAAATACAAGAGGGGTGGGGAGGAAGAGGTACCTTGTTCAGACGACTTCACTACCTTGGTGACCCAGCTTTAGTATTTCATTTGCAAATGTTTTAATCCCCTTCTGTGGGCAACTGCTCTTAAGAAGCTTCAAACTTGCTTTCTCAAAATCTCAAACCAAACTTACTGCCATCTAGTTTATTCCAAGTCATAACAACCTATAGAACACAAGAGAACTGCCCCATTGGGTTTCCAAAGCTGTACATCTTTCACCAAAGACAACATTGATATGACCAACTGCATGAAAAGATGCCCCAGATCATTAGCCAACCGCAAACCAAAATTCATTGACCCCAAGTCACAGTGACCCTAAGGGGTTTTTCTAAGGTTAAAGCTGAATGGGAACAGTTAGCCTCATCTTCTCCTTCCCTCACAGTAACTGATTTGAACCACCAACCTTGTGTTCAGCGTACATTGTTTACCTAAGACCACAGCAGGGCTCCCTCATTAGCCATCAGAAAAGCAAATCAAATCCATATGAGATACCATTTCAATCCCATATGGGTATGGAGCCCAGGTGACATAGTAGGATCCAAGTTGGGAGGCTAACCATAGGTCAGTATTTCAAACCCACCCAGGGCTGCACAGAAGCAGGTCTGCTGCCCTAAAGACTTACAGCCTTGGAACCTCTCAGGGGCAGTTCTGCTCTGTCCTATACGGTTGCATACGTTAGAATAAACAATGCCAGTGCCGTTTTGGTTCAACAGAAAAGAGGAACAGCCTTTCTACGTTGTCAGCCCCTATCTAGCACAGGGTCCGAGACACAACAGGTTATCACTTCTTGGTTTGTGATGCTGAGTTTTCTCCTTAAGGCTGAAAAAGGTGTTAAACCAAAACCTGCCACCATCGAGTCAATTCTGGCTCATGACAACCCTATATGGGGTTCCCAAGATTGTGCATTTTTTTGGAAGCAGACAGCTTCATCTTTCTCTTGTAGAGCAGTTGGGATTTTTAACCTGTTGACCTGTGGTTCGCAGTCCAATGCCTCTTCAAAAGAGGCACCAGTGAGCAGTCATCTCACCTAAATATGGAAGAAAAATTAGGAGTCTAGAGTATCCAATCCCTGACCAATAAGAATGATTTCAACACTTTTTAAAAATGTAATCTATTTTAGGAGCTGATACCAAGGGCTCAAGTAGAAAGCAAATATTTTGAGAATGATGATGGCAACAAATGTGCTTGACACACAATGGATGGATGTCTGGATTGTCAAGAGTTATACAAGCCCCCAATAAAATGATTTTTTAAATGTAATCTTTTTCACTTAATTACACATGTAGAAATGTTGAGTTGATGTGTGTATATTCTTGCCACAAAGCAAAACTTAAATAAATGTGATTATTGCTCAGACCTAGCAATAAAAGGTGGGCTACTTTTAATAAAAAGAATCCAGAGTCAGATTAAAAGAGGACTAAAGTGTCTTTCAGATTCTTAATGGACAGAAAGCAAATTGAAATTGTCCTCAGTGTTTGATTTGATTCAGAGCATTCAAGTTATGAAAGTTGATCATTCTACCCAGACAAAAATAATAAATACATACACAAACTATTTCTTAGTAATTTTAGCCTATAAAGTAGTTTAATAAATATATTAAGGCTTAAGGTAACCATTGTTTTATGCAGAGGAGGGTAGTTTACATCCTAGTACATCTAAAACATACTAGTTTACATCAGAATCTTTAAAAGCAAAAAAATTACCATATTACCATGAAGAAAACAAAACATGGGCTTGCCCAAGTTTTTTCATTGAATATATCTGCTTTCCACCTACATATATCTGGTGGACAAAGAATGATCTCAGTTTTCTGATGGATTGAGGGGGAAAAAACACTCTGATTTGAAATGTTTACTTTTTGAGCAAAAAGCCTTCCCTGATTTGCTTGGACAGTTAGTAATACAGCTTACAAATAAGTACAGCTGAACAGTGACTTGGAAGCTTAGTTAAATAGTAGGAATAGCTCTAAAAGGCCCTGAGGAAAGGGAAACGGTGAAATGTTACTATTCATACATCCAAACCTTGAGGCAAGAAGGTGTCCAACTAGCTGTAAGGAAGTTATCCGGCACAATAACCACCCGAATCTGACACCCATTACTAAGGCAGGTTGGGGAGACTCTCATCACGATCAGATGATTCCCAGCAAGAGTCACAGACACTGACGACCAAGCACCCAGGCCCGCACAGGCAGAAACTCCAGCCATCCGACAGACCGCCCACATGGGCCGATGGAGAAGGCCTGCTCACTTATTAACCTGGCAGTGTCCAGCCCCCAGGCCATCGGCTGGAGAAGCACAGAAGGGCCCTGAAAGGAGTATCTGCAAGAGGAGAAGCAAGTGCTGATGTGTGTCCAACCATAAGGGTTCCCCCCACGGTCACAGTCCTCAGGAACCTAGATGGATTCCAGGATCCAGTCACTGCTGGACATGGGCGAGACCGGCAGCATCCCGTCCCGAGGGGCTTCCCGCTCCTTGCTGCCACGGAGCTGGTCCTGCTCTTGGAAATCCTCTTCCTCTTCATCAAAGAAGCCATTTTCCAGTTCGTACAAGCAGTCTGGGCTGGAGGCTGCCTGACACGCTCCTTTGTACTCCTGAATTGACTCATAGAGGCTGTAGAGTTGACAAAGCAGGGACATGTCCAGCTGCCGGAGTCCAACCTTGCAGAGGGGTGGGATGAAAAACAAGAATTCAACACTTGAGTTCATTTTACGTTTACACATGCCACCAGCAATCTACTAATGATTGGACAGTCTGTCCACCAGCTAGTGACTACGCATTGCTTGGATGCTTTGCATTTCCAGTTTGGAGAAACCTTAATTGAGTTTCCCCACACCTCAGATAATTAGTGTGTCTAAGAAGGACTGTGGGTGTGGGGCAATGAGGCTGAGCCTGTGGTGCTTCTGAAATCACCTGCTGATGCCACAGAAGTGCACATCTGGCATTTCCAGCTGGTTTCTCTGCATGCCAACATGCAAAATGTCATTCCCTCTTCCTGGTCAAATGAAGGGAAGACCCACACTGACTTCCCTCCTAAAGCATCAGGATACCAAGAAACCCAGTTATTCTCATGAATCTAGGGGCAACAGGTGCCTCTGGCATGTGGGAGAGTGCATCCGTCTGCCCACTGGAGCACCACCCGCTAAGCAACCGGCCCCCAGGCACTCAAGAGAAGCAGTTAGACCCCTCCTCTCAAGGCAGTAGTCTGTCTTATCCAGGAATGGCTATCGGAGCATTTCACAGAGTGAATGAGGTAAGAGACTTACTAGGTACAGCCCCCTAGAATCCTCCCTGAGAGTGGGTGGTTTTCAAAGTTAAGTGATGAAGAAATCATAAACATGAACATCTTAGATATCTAGTTATCTTCAAATTCTTCTCTTCCCCACAGCCCACCCAGAAGTACATTGTTACATCAATCTCACAAAGAGAAAGGTTGACCATTTGGCAATGCAAAATAAAAGGTGCTATGCACATGGACTTCTCCAGATGGAATACACAAATATCAAATATATCAATATCAGCAGTCCAAACCAGGCCAGGGGCGACCTGTGGGACAGACCATCAATTGCTCATATATATATGTTCAAGTTAAAGGAAACTGAAACAAGGTCTTTAAAAGCCACCATCCTGGCAGATGGCCTCTGGAGCATGTCCACTCCAGATGGTACTGCAGAAGGTCCTCACCCTCACAGGGCCTACACATAGAGAAACTTAGATTGTGTCACCAGCGGCTCGTTCACATACTTTCAAGACTCCAGCAGCAAACTGTTGCTTCTTTGTCCTTTTAGAAGAGAGTTTATCATGATGAGAGCATAGACTTGGCTCAGCGGCATGCTCATCTCACTAGTACACCTATGAGAGATAAGAACGGTGCCCTGGTGGCTCAGTGGCTAAGTACTCTGCTACTAACCAAAGGGTGGGCAGTTCTGATCCAGCAGGTCTCCAAGGGCAAACAATATGACAGTCTGCTTCTGTGAAGATTTACAGCCTTGGAAAGCCTCGGGACCAGGTCTACCCTCCTGGATTGTCACCAGATCAACAGCAATAACTTGGTTTGTTCTGTTGTAGGAGGTAAGAAATGCGTGATCCGAGGCACCCACACTGCCACAAGCTACCTGCATGTGGGGGGGGGGACGGGGGCGGGTCAGACACCATTGTTTCTCTGAACTACAATGTGTGTGCATATGGGGCATGATGGGGCATAGATCCTGATATTTGTGTTTTTAAAATGACCCCCCAATAGATACTGATTCCCAGTTCTAGAAAAGAAGTAGAATTCTTGACACAATTACAAGAGGGCTTCCAAAAGGTCATGGGAAAGATCCATCATCTTTTTGTCCTCTTCTCCATGGTGTGTTGTTGTTGTGTCTTTGTGCCCTAGCGACCCTACGCACAATAGAACAAAACACTGCCCGTCGGCACCATCCTCACAACTGCTCCTGGGCTTGAGCCCATTGATGCAGCCTCTTTATCAATCCATCTTGTCAAGGGCCTTCCTCTTTTCCCCATCCCTCCACTTTACCCAACACAACGTCCTTCTCCAGAGACTGGTATCTCCTGACGATATGTCCAAGTATATGAGATGTAGTCTTGCCATCCTTGTCTCTAGGGAGCATGCTGGTCTTACTTCTTCCAATAGAGATCGATTTGCCATTTTAGTAGATCATGGTACTTTCAATATTTTTCTCCAGCACCATAATTCAAATGCATCAATTCTTCTACGGTCTTCTTCAATGTTATTCAATGTCCAACTTTCATGTGCATATGATGCAAGGGAGAATTACCATGGTGTGGATCAGGTGCACCTTAGCCCTCAAAGAAACATCCTTGTTCTTCAATACTCTAAAGAGGTCTTGTGCAGCAGATTTATCTACGACAACACATTTTTTTAATCTCTTAATTGTTGCTTCCATGAACATAGATTTTGGATCAAAGTAAGAAAAAAATCCTTCACAACTTCAAACTTCTCTCCATTTATCATGATGGTCTATTGGTCTAGTGGTGAGTTATAATCCATATTGAAGGCTGCAAACCTTGATCTTTATTTTATCAGCAAGTGCTTCAAGTCCTCCTCACTTTCAGCAAACAAGGTTGTCATCTGCATACTGGAGGTTGTTAATAAGCCTTCCCCCATTCCTGATGCCACGCTCTTCTTCATATAATCCAGCTTTGCTGATGATTTGCTCAGCATACAGACCGAACAAGTATGGTGAGAGGATACAAGGCTGACACACAACTTTCCTGATTTTAACCCAAGCAGTATTCCCTGGTTCTGTGTGCACAACTCTCTCTTTATCCATGTACAAGTTCCAAGCAAGCGCAATGAAGTGTTCAGGAATTCCCATTCTTCTCATGATTATCCACAGTTTATTATGGTCCACACAGTCAAATGCCTTGGCATAGTCAATGGAACACAATTAGATTGATATTTCTGATACGAGCGATGCCATTCCTTATTCCACGTCCTGAATCTACTGCAACCGTTGTTGGATGATCTTCAGCAAAATGTTACTTGTGTGTGATATCAGTGATATCGTTCTACAGTTTGAGCACTCTGTAGGTCACCTTTCTTTGGAATGGATACAAATATGGATCTCTTCCCGTTCGTTAGTTGGCCAAGTAACTGTCTTCCGAATTTCCTAGCACAGAGCGAGGGCTTCCAGTGCTTCTTCAGCTCTCTGAAACATTTCAATGGGTATTCCACCTATATCCTTCCCCAGGCCCTGGAGCTGCCATGAGAGTATGCAGTCTGCCCCAGTGCACTTGAAGACAGGTCGTGTCATCTTTTTTCTTGTTTCTAATCACAGACTTCTGATCCTCCAGCTGAGGCCAAATTTCAATCTTCGCTAGATGCCATGTACTACTGCCTGCCCGAGACAGCAATCTGACTGCTGTCTGCAACATTGTAGAGCTGCTATTCGTTAAGTGCTTACTTATGTTGGTGCCAGGTGCCAGGCTCCACAGCTCGCCCTGGCAGGCACATTGAATGCCCAGGGAGTGCCTGGAGAGCTGTGTTTCTACCTGCCCCATGTTATGTATACATACACTGTGGAGACTTAAGATTCTGACACACAGCTTCCATATTGGAGAGTAGATAGAATGAAATGAAAATCCCATTATCTTTTCATGCCATTTTCCCAGGTACTTTTGGAAGCCCCCTCATATTTGTCTTTTCTGGGCCATTTATATTCCCTAGTGAGTACTCAATTCTAGATCAGGCAAGACAGAAGAGAACAAAGTTAAAAGTGTAGGCTCTGGTGCCTGCCTGCTCATGTGCAGATCCTGCTTTGCCACTTAGTAGCTATGTGACCCTGGACAATTACCATATTTCTAAAAATACCAACGACTGCTGCTATTATTGTTTCTTCAGTAGGCTAGCCTGAGTCCCATTTAGAGCTTACTGGTTAACAAAGGATCCGCTAGACCAGTGGTTCTCAACCTTTGCCCTGACCCTTTCATACAGTTCCTCATGTTGTGTTGACCCCAACCATAAAATTATTTTCGTTGCTACTTCATAACTGTAATTTTGCTACTGTTATGAGCAGGGCGACCCCTGTGAAAGGGTCATTCAACCCCCAAAGGAGTTGCGACCCCCAGGTTGAGAACCGCTGACCTAGACAGCAGTCACCAGTGCTACTACTCTGTTGCTCTCCCCTCCCCATCCAGTGCTAAGCATACAAGGCAGCCCAGGTGGGGGACAGTTCCCGGGGCATCCCAGTTCAGAAGACCCTAGTGTAGCCAAGTTAGGTGAAAATGAACAGGCAAAGCTGCTTTGTGAAAAGCAAAGTGGCCATTGCAGAGCTCCAATAGGAAAGGCCTTTGGCCGTCTAACTTCAAAACTGAAAAAAGAAGACCCCGTCCTTCCCAAGCCGGTTATTCTTTTTGACTACATGGAATGGTTTCTCCTATAGTCAAAATCTACCCATGTTTACGGTCTGCAGAGTACTCAGTGCTATCTGTGTTTAATCTGTCAATACACATGTCAAAGTTCTCTCTTTTGTAACCACTCTAAGTATATGAAGATAATTTTCACTCGTGTATCCCAACCCCTAAAAAATAAATCTTCTCTTTTCTGAGCTAAATATCTTCTCAATTATTTTCATTGTGATCTTCTGGTCCTACCTTGCCTAGTTTCTTTCCTCGGGATTTGCTCTGTTTCTCAAGATTCTTCTATAGTATCCAAACCCGAATATAAACAAGATTTTAACTGAGAAAATTTAAATATCTGTGTGTAGAATTTATGCATTAAGGTATAAACATGAATAAAGTTACATGCTCTCAATATTTGCTCAAACAGTGATGAGAATGATTCACTACTTAGTCACTTTGCTAGACAGTAGGATTAGACCCCTCCAAGGTGAGATTTCCTACCTCAGGAAGGAATGATGGAAAATGCAGCACTGAGCCCTTTTTCACCTCTGTGGGATAATCTTTCAGCCCAGGTACAGTAGGAGCCTGGGCTCTCTGGTTTGAATAATTCCCTTCTAGGTCTCCAAGATTATGGCTTTCCATGACACCATTCCACTCAAGACACAAGGTTCTAGATGTTCCTTGTTAAGGCACTGTGGGGTAAAGAATTTAACTTTACCCAAAGAATCTGGCACCTGTCCTTGGTTCTTCGTTAATTCCCACAATTCAAGGTCCCGGACAAAGTCTCTAG